AAATCTGGCTTACGTATTTCATAACTGAGGCTTATGTCATGTGTTTTGTAATTATTTTAGTCCCCTTAGTTTGTCTCTTATATACTTGGATTACATCATTATGATTTTACTGCACAATATTTGACTCTTTCACACCTGGAAGATCTGGCTTACGTATTTGATAACTGAGGCTTATGTCATGTGTTTTGTAATTATTTTAGTCCTCTTTGTTTGTCTCTTATATACTTGGATTACATCATTATGATTTTACTGCACAATATTTGACTCTTTCACACCTGGAAGATCTGGCTTACGTATTTGATAACTGAGGCTTATGTCGTGTTTTGTAATTATTTTAGTCCCCTTTGTTTGTCTCTTATATACTTGGATTACATCATTATGATTTTACTGCACAATATTTGACTCTTTCACAACTGGAAGATCAGTAAATCTGGCTTACGTATTTGATAGTCATAGGTCATCTTTTTATTGTAATAATTGCCTTCTCTTTTAATTATACAACACTTTTGAACAGTGAAACTTGTGACATGATTTGGACACAACCTTCAATATATCTTTGTTTTTATAAGGTAAGCTAAATCACATTGGAAGCAAGTCACAACTTTTGGATGAAGATGGGTCATCATGTGGAGGCACTATTGGAGCAGGTGATATGAGATTTTCAGTCACAATCTTATAATTTTGATCTTGTTTTATTTGCATTAACTCCTTCCACATCAATCTTTTTTTGGGGGGGGGAAATGATACAAAATTCAGAATAAATATGACAGAGATTAGCACAAACAGCATTTCCAATACCATCTGGTGAGCGCTGATTGTAATACATGATAACATGCAAATAAATTTGGGCAAATAATTAAAAATGTGGAGAGAAATGGTTTACTTAAATTAACTCTGATAAATATTTTTTGAAACATAGAGTACAACTGAGTTATTTCATGTAAATTACAGAAGAGGTTAAAACTCAGACTGATAAGGTGGCACTTTTCTACTTTAAATGTGTTGTGTGTTTTTCATCATTATTTTGATTTTTCATGTAGGAATATCAGTATATAGTTTTTTTAATACTAATTGATGTAGCTTTAAATAATATTCTATTAGAAAAAGAAATGTAATTTTTAGACTGTACTTGGTATTAGTAGATTCTGGAAATAGTGTGAAAACATAATTAAATATCTGAACTACAGGTGTTTATTTCTTCTGATGTATAAATTGTATTAGTTTGGGGCATTTTGGAGTTAAAGGTTTATATTTTGCATGCATGATATTACACATTGTCAACAATGTAATTATTTGAACCATAATTATTGTTTTAACTTTTACATCTTCTTGAGGTCTTCTCATTTATTTTCGAGATGTTATCTTGTAGTTCAGGAAAGATAAAAAATAATATAAGACTAATGAAAACATTACTCAAATAAGTAAAGTATTTTGATACAATTTACTTTTAGTAATCTAAAACCATTACACCATTTTGAGGGAGAAATTTGTATACTTATTAGTGGAAAAGTTGCAAAACTGTAGTTACATATTTCTATGATACAAATCACTTTGATGTTATAAACCAATGTTTATTAAATCAATGTTAAAGCTTCAAGAAGAGGTAATGATCTCACTGGATGACTTGTTAAAGCTTCAAGAAGAGATAATGATCTCACTGGATGACTTAAATATTAAATTACATCTCCTGACTACTGTAGTGATCATCTTATTTTGTGTTATAATAAAAGATAGTTTCAAAATAACACAGTTTGTATTTCCTCTTTCTATATGTTAAAAACTTGTTTCCTACAGTGAAAGAGCACACACACAAGTTATTTCAGGTGACAGGTCTATTAAGAGTGGTTCTTCAGTATTTGATGGTTGTGCTGTCAACCAACTGACTGCCATGAAATACTAAAAGTTTCCAGTCAGCTTTATGAAACATTTACATCCTCATATACTTTGGTCACACCTCAACATTTAATCCATGGTCTTAACTAATCAGTAGTGTTATTACTAGCACAAGTTCCATTTGGCAGTATTTTGCCTTTAGTGGAAATTTCCATGTTTGTTGCTATATTACTGTTTCCGGTTTCATTATATAATGTATCAATGGCTAAGTTTTTATCCTGCCTCACACTGTTCATAAATTTTCCACCTTGCTGTGTAGTGCTATCTTTACACTTGGTGAAAGATGTTTGCCACTTCTTCTTCTGATTAGCAAACATGTAGCTCTTTAACTCGGAAGTTATTGAAAGTTTGTAATCATGTTAGTGGTCTGCTTCTAATTCCATGAACTCATCACTCACACTGTGATAAAATAATACTCTTTATAAACACATGCTGGAAACAATTTTTTTAAGCCTAGCCCCTTCAGGTACAAACTTGTTTGAAATGTCACTTATGTTAGCAAAATCAGTCTTCCTACTTGATGTGAGACATATGTAACTGGTAGCAGACATTTGCATTAATAGTCCTGGGAGTTTCTATAGTGCTCATGTTTTTGTGTATATACCTTTTGTTCATTCATCAAGTCCCCTAATACACTTTTGACCAAAATACATGCATAAATAGACAAAATAGACCGATGACCAAACCTTAATTACTGCATAATTGGACAAATAATCTTAACAGTGCTGTATTTTAACAATGACACTACTGATTTTCAATCTAAAAGTTAATTTACACATGGGGAAGCATTTATTATAATATACTTATTCTTGATTAGGGAAAAATTAGTAAAGTGCAATTAATCACATTTTCAAAGTTGAGCTAACATGGGTACCTTTTTTCATGAACTGGCATTAAAACTTCTGATCAAAAGTATGCTGACTATATTGATTGGAACTAAAAGGTAACTTAAAAGTTAATGAAGTCAGTTCAGTATAAGAAACTGAAAAGACATACATAAGGTCATAAATCAATACACGTGAAAAACTAAGCTTATAATGAATTGTAATTATGGTGATAATGCCTCTTACAAATTCACTTTTATAAATAGTGTTCCAACCACTACTGTATCCCAGCTGGTCTGAAAAGCCCTGGATTGAGCGAAATGCATCGTCATCAGCAATGGATCTGGCAAATGTAGTGTTGTTAGAATACTGTTATTGTACACTCTTCTAATTCTTGAAAATCTCTAATAGACTAGATAAAGAATGTAGTGTTTAAAAATTTAATAGGCCTATAACTAATATCTTATGATAAATATAATTGATTATAATCATGCTTTGCCAGCTTGTAAAAGGCATTCACACCATAAAAAGCTTATAATGATTAGAACATATTGAATCATCAGTTGGGTACCCTCATTATTAATGATCATTTGAAACATAATTTTTTGTCTTGTCCCTAGAAGTATATTTAATTTTTTTTCTCAAGAAGCTTTATGAGAGTCTAAAAGGTCAACATTATATAAATAACTGTTCTAAGTTCTGGAGTTATTCAGTTGAAGTGGCTCCTTAAGAAGCTTTATGAGAGTCTAAAAGGTCAACATTATATAAATAACTGTTCTACGTTTTGCAGTTATTCAGTTGAAGTGGCTTCTTAAGAAGCTTTATGAGAGTCTAAAAGGTCAACAATATATAAATAACTGTTCTAAGTTCTGCAGTTATTCAGTTGAAGTGGCTCCTTAAGAAGCTTTATAAGAGTCTAAAAGGTCAACATTATATAAATAACTGATCTAAGTTCTGCAGTTATTCAGCTGAAGTGGCTCCTCAAGAAGCAGTTGATGGATTGTAACTCTTTCACACTATAATAAGACCCGTTGCTTTGAATTCGAGAATAACCAGTTGGATCCCCAGTTTTTTACAGCAGCTCTACATCTGAAACTGTATTCAATATGATTTTCAGAATGAAATAGTGCTTGTTTCACACAGATGTACCACATTACATTTAATCTTATTTCAACTTTATTCCTTAAAATTTCTTCTGTTGTCTTAGCTTGCAATTTTTTGTGCTGTTTAGTTGTTTACATACTTGTATAGCTCCTATTTTGGCTTACTTTTAGTGCAGAATATTTTGAGCCAAATATTTCATTGTTCTCTATCACTGAGCCTCCTGTTATGTTATAACTGAAGAATTGTGGTATCTGGAAGTATAACTTAGTGCTATTCCACCATGTTGATATAAGTATGATTTTTTATATTTATATGTAAACAATATTTATGAAATATATTTTTATCTTGTGAAATTTCCTAGTTTGATATTTATTCTGAAATAACATATGAGTAAAATGTTATATATGGAAATGTAATTTTTATTTGTCTCTTATAGTTCATCAGCTTGTTCACAATTCAGCAGTTTTGTTTCTATCACCTATTCCACCCCTGTTGGTAACTCCAATTAATGAGCATTCTATGCTGAAGTTGCCATCACAAGGTCTAATTAAACAAGACAGTAGCACCTCCTTGATTTCTGCTGGTCAACTCTCTGCTTTCTTAGCATCTGATTATTCATCAACTAATGGTGAATGTTACCTTTCTCCCATTTTTTTAGTGGAATATTTATACAATTTTATGTTATTATTGGACACTGATCCATCTAAGCTATGGAGTTTGAACATAAAGAATAGGTTACTTTCATAGAATTCTAAGTATGTTCTTGAGCAATGGTAATTTTCAGTAAAACAGCATCATTGTTTTAATCCAGTATAACTTGTTTTAATTTGACCTGTGAGCTTCAGAGTATTATTTTCAGTGAATTGTATGAGATCTGTTCAAAGCCAAGTCTGTGACTTCATATTTAACACCTGCCACATGAGCCAGCCTGGCATTTTGATGTGGATTAAAAAAAAGGGAGTCATTCTGAAAAGGTTTAGGTTGTTTTGATTAGATAAAAAGAAGATGTTTGGCACTATTTTCGAGGTCTAGTTCATTGGAACCATGACCTGACCGAGACCACAAGAGCTAATATGGAGAAGTTAACTTGTAAATCTAAAGTAAAATAATGTAGCAATGAAACATGCTTGAAATGTTCTAGATGTGATTGTTTAAGTGTAGTGATTAAGCTAAACTGTGGGTCCAGGTTAGATGAGGAAAGAACTTATTCAAGGATATATCAATCTATTTGACATACCTGCTGAATTGGAGTTTTGTCAATTGATTACTGCATTTACAACAAAACATAAAAAATGTGTACAATAGTATTATTATCTTCAAAAGGGGGTATTGGAATTATATATAAAAAATCATTAGTTTCAATATTTTGTGAAACTAACGGCACAATAAAGCCCAAAAAATGCAGTGTTGAAGCAGATGCATTGAAAGATGATGTCCCTAGTGGTTCTCAACTTAAAAATACCATTTCTACAACGAAGATTAAATATAAGAAGGATGGTATAATGCCCAATATGGTACCACTGTAGTATAATCCATATAGATTTTATCATGTCATATTTTTATTAATATTTAGTTTTCTTTCATTTTAGAATTGTGCCAAACTTCATTTGTTGAGATCTGTTGAAATAATCCTAAATAACTGGTTTCTGGAACGACTCTCCTGTTGACCATCCTAGGCTCAGTGTGAAAAGGTGCTGGGTTGGCTTGTGTGGCAGGTGTCAATTAGGATAAAAGACACTGCATGTTTAGTACAGAGTGATTTGCCTCATGACTTTTTTCTATGCCTATATTTGAGTAAAAATAGATAATTCAGTAAAGATTGCAAAAATATATGCCTTCCTTTTCTAACACTGGTATGCACCTTTAAGCAAATATGTTTACTGATAAAAAAATCGAGGACTAGTATTCTCTGTAAAGCAGCTTATAGAGAATTTAAAAAATAGCCATAATATGATGAACTACTAATTTTTTGTGTGTTTTGATTTAATACTTATCTAAACTATATGTTTGTTTTACTAACTTATTTATACTGTATTTCCACTTTTTTTTACAAAATGAGACTACATGATACTCAGACATAACTAACATTTTATTCTTCGAGCATTTGTGTGAAACATAATGAACCAGAAGGAAATGTAATAGTTTCAGTCTTTCTACAAAAAACATAATTCTTAATTTGACAAAAAAATATTCTTTTTTACCAATTAAATTGGGTGGTAAATATTTGTAAAAATTAAGTTTTTTAAAAAATAACACTAATTGTTAATTATTCATACCAGGTGCCATTACCAGTGTGGCTCCTTCATTTTACTCTCAAGCCTACTGTATTCAGGAAAATTCCTCCACACAAATAGCTAGGAGTAAGTCAGATTTTATGATGTCTCTTTCTACCGATACCTTTTCAAATGGTGGAGGTACTTCAAGTTTTGGTGATCAAATGTCACATGTGCTTAGCCCCACTTGGATCAGCAATGGAAACATGGAACAAGGTGGAAGTAGTAAAGGTTCTACACTGAACTCAGCAGTATCTTCATCTAAACCAGAAGATGGGTATGCCACATATTTTATTTGATTCTTCTTAAGTTCTTCCGGTAACCAAGAATTGTATTCTGTTTCTGTTGTCTTCAGACTTGCTGTTTTGTACATACCATATCAGTTCTTCTCTTTTTATTTTATTGTGCAAAGTGTATTGAACAGTAATGATTACACATACGTTTTTGCTAAAAAAATAGGTAAATAATCTATATTAGAATTTATGTTCATTTTATCAAATAACATACTTTCAAAATCTAAGCAGAAATGGTAGTGGAATACCAAATACACATTCTGTATATGTATTTGTTTTTAAAGTTCTTGTATACATTACCCCACATGCATCTTGAAGTTTTAGTCATAAATTAGTTGGTTTCTTGTCAGATGTGTCAGTGAAAGATTGTGTGGAATTTGTTTTTGTTGTCTTTCAAAGGTTTAAAGCTTGATAAGTGTATCATATGTAACTTTTTATATTTTCTTTATTGGAACTGAAGTAGTGCATGGTACTCACAAGTTTGCCAGTAATATAGCTGGAAAACAGCTTTACTGTTTAATGAAATGACCTAATACAGTAGTGCCAATTTTATGAACACTTTCAGGTCTTATGTTGTTCATGCAGGGAGTGCACTACCTCCTCGTAAATCTGAACGCGACGCGTTTCCATCTTTGGTGGGACAGTGTTTCACATCCTCTTCATAATTCCATGGGTAAGCAGAATTCTCCTTGCCCACTTGGTGGGGGAGTAATAACAACTGTTTTAAATCCAGACTGAATGAGTTCTGGACTTTTGTGGAGTATGGCATATGATCCAATCAATCCAGGCCTGGGATGTTGCCTTTTGGACTTTTTCAGGTTGATCAGAAGGATTGTCCACATTGGTGTTGCTTTCTTTCTTTCATAAATCCGGTGGTTCAAAACACATCATTCTGTGGTTACTGGTAGGGATCCTATCACAAAGATATATATATCTGCGGTCCAACTGCCCTGGCCACCAATGTAGGATATGGGTACCATGACCCCTTAAATCCAACCTGAGTTGTGTGATACCAGTACTGTTTGCAGGTGGGTACATCATACAGTACCTGCATAGAGGGCGTGTGAGGGCCCGCATAAAGTTTTGCAAATTAGATAATGCCGAGGGCAGTCGAGTGGGATATATTAAGACTGGAGCAACCAAACACATTAGATGGCAAAGATGAAGATCAAGAAATAGCTATTAGTGTCAGTGGAGATAAGTATGTTTGGAAATACATTTTCAGTTTAGGAAAATGATAACTTCAGTGTAGGAATGTTTTCCATATAAATAGCTAACGTAAATTACCTTAACTCTTCAGGTATGGAAAGAAACCTGAGGATAAACAAGTTATAAATTTGTCTTTATTTTTACTTTAAACCCTGAATGCGATCATTTCTACAGTTTAATAGTAATGTTCTGTTTTCTTGTACTCTTCACTGATAACGTTTGTTTCTTTTAGTACATGTTTTTTAACTTTTGTTAGTACAACATGAGATATTCTAATAATGGTTCTGTAAAAGACAGCTTAAATTTAAGAAATTTTGATTTGATGATTCTGTATTTTTTGAGAGTTTTGATATTGATTTTATTGATAAGACATAACACATTATAAATAGGCTCAACTGATTTTATATTTTCACTCAAAAAATCATCACAACTGCATTGTGTGTTATTTTTTTTAGCCCTTTCTTTATCTTCAGTTCATCACTGACAGTGTTAAATTTGAATCAAAACATGTTTATTTCATTTGAAATAATTAAGAACTCGTTTATCCTGTGTATGACTTGATGGTTTTGATTAAAACCCTTTTATTTAGTTATAAAAACTAATTGAATAAGTTATTAAAACACATTGTATGAATCTGTTAGTGTCAGTAGGACTTATCCACTGTAGGTGTTAATAGTTTTATTTGTACAGTAATAAGAAAAAAAAATAAATTTTATGCATTTTAAAATTAATTATGACTATTATACAAAGAATGGTTAGGGAAATATTACATAAATTTTTCTAACTTTCCATTTCATTCATTTTTTAAAGGGTCAGTTTTGTTTTAGCCCATGGATTTAGAATAAAAAAATAAGATTTGTACAAATCAAAATATCTGAGTAACTAGTAATTGAAAGTTCAAGTACTAACAAATGTTTCATTGTGTTCAAAGCTTGTGCCAACACAAAAATTTTTTGAATATTAAGAAACACTTGATAGATAAATTATTTGCCACACTTAGGTATCAAAGGGTTTTCTTTCATTAAGAATATAATCAGCTATCTGTTAACCTAAACATCTATGCATGTAGGTTTGTTCAGATTTACATAAATTTTAACTAAATAAATGTCAGAAAAACCTACATTTTTATTAACTAACTTGTAGAATCACTGGTAATTTTGTTGCTATATGCTAATTAATTATCATGTCATGAAAATACACATTTTTTTTGTTATATGTTTGTGTGTCTCTAAGCGAGTCAGATTGTTCGAGAAGATAAATAATTTAGTCTGATGGATGAATAGAAAAGTCAAAAATTTCTTACATTTTGTAGCATATACTGCATGAAATAGTTTTGTATAATATATATAAAACATTTTTTTACACAAAACTAAATCTAATTATATTTCATGTAAGGTTTGAATATGCCATGTTTATGTTATCCTTCCTTTTGATGTATATCTGTTGCTAAGGTTTTGTAATTTATTTAAATATATAGTTTATTTATTTAAATTAAATGACTTATAGTCACCATTACTTAATGCTACTTTTCTTTCACTACTATTCACACATATTAAATAGAAGAAACATATAGCGACAAATTCTAATCAAGTAAAAAGACTCATCTGATGGAACTTTTTGGTAAAAACGTTGAAATGCTTAAATTACTAAATTGTTGTTTTTGCTGTAATCCAACTCTTGAAGTTTGTTCCATTACATAATACAGTTAGAAGTTACATCTTTCTGAAGACAAAACATTATAACTAATCAACCACTAATCTCCAATGTAATTGAAACATTTCTGATGACAATAAAGATTACTTATTGTTGTCTGAACTTCTTACCTTATATTTCAAAGAGGATGTTTAAAATGAATTATTTTGCAGAAGGTTAATTTGTCAAAAGTGTTTTAACACATCTTTGCAGTCATTTATGAATAAACATATAAAATGAAGACAAAAGCAACTGTCATTAAATACTTATTTAATATATCTGCATTATTCTAAGTAATATTTTAATAAGATGTTTGGGAAAGTTCCTGACATAAATTATGACTGTTTGCACATACTCATTATAATTCAAAATATTAAAAGTCAGTGCATAATATTAATTCATATCTTAATGATTTTTTCTGAGGCATTGGTTTTTCCATAAATAGAGATTTTTACAATAACAAATGACTAAGGATTTAAATTTCCATTATTGAAAAATTATATCTCCAAACTTTTTCCACAGATCTCAGGAATCAAATACTCCTCTACAACCAGACACACCAAAGAGATTGCTTAGTAAAATTGTAAAAAGCCTCAGCCAAGACAACAACCCTTCACCATCTTCACAGTCTTTTTCACCTAAACACTCTCTCTCAGAGTCCTGTTTAGACAGTCCTGTGCATAAGTGTTCTGATGTTGATACCAGAAGTAACTTGAATGATGATACTTGCAACATGAATAGAAAAGTTACTAATTATGGCTCACTTGGAAGACGCAAAAAAGCAGGTGCTTTAATTTCTTCCCTGCATACCAATTTCCCAAAAGCTATTCCAGATGAAGAAAAGTATATGGACAATTCTCACTCTGCTCCAGAAAAGAAAGATGGAGAACAATATAAAAAAATATTCTTGCTCCAAGCTAAAAGGAAGAAATCAAAGGTACTCTGATGTCACATTATCAGCATCCAAATGCCCCTGTGATGCAACTGAGAAAAATAAAACCCTTTTTTGTATATTATGTTTAATAGGTAGTTTTTGAAAAAAAAAATGATGCAAATATATATGTGTGTGTATTAATACATACACACATTTATGTTAACTGTTATACAATGTAATCATGACTGTATTTTAAAATTCTATTTGTTTACCTTCCAGATTTGATCATTGACCAACTTTTGTGTCTTATAAATTAAATTTGTTAGTGAATTTAATAATGTAAATATCCCTTTTTTTTATCAATGGAATGATGTAACTTAATATAACTTATTTTTGAGTGTTTGTATATGTAAACTTGTATTATTTCTGCTATTCAAAATAATACAGATGAAAGAAAAAATAACTTATTAAATGTTGATTAAGATTTCTAGATGTATTGTAATATGCCCTCATTTCAACTGCATTGTTTTGGGATTAATAGATGACTTACAAATTTGTTGAAAAATAAGAACTTCATGACTTACTGGAAATATATAGAAAATTAAATCATAACACCAGTTATCACAAAATAATTGTAATTTTGACTGAGCTCTGTTTAAATTTAACTTAACACAGAAGTAAATAAGAGAGTCTCCAAGAGTTGACGCTCGGTGACCTGAATAGTAATTCTACCTGGTATATTACTAATGAAATACTGAATTAATAGCTGTCATTCAAATACTTTGTGACACAGGCTCTCATGTAGTCTTTTGTAAGAAATTACTCAAATATTCTTCAGTAATCTCCAGGGTACCGTAATAAGTGGATAAATTATTGTAATACGTTATTAGTGTCAAATATTTATATTCAAAAGAATGCAACAGGATTTGAAACTTGGTACAAGGAATAATATGTGGAATAGCAATGAAATGTTATTACACAAAACTATGTTGTTGTTTTTACAGTTTAATTCTTTTGTCATGATTAGTAGTTCAGATGGTCCAAAGTTCGACCCAGGATATCTTACTAAATACACTTTACACACTCAGTTGTGGAAGTTTAAAACTCTAATCTATTACACTTTTATTCAATTAAAGCAGCTGTGTAGGTGGCAGGTGCTGCAGACTGGCTGTTTTTCCTCTGGTTAATAGTTCTAAATGAGGTATTGCTATGCCAGAGTCTTGGTATATCTGGCTAGACTGTTTAGCACATGAGATGCTTGAAAATACCAAGTTCTTACCAAAGTTGGTAAGAAACATTTTTGTGAATAAATCTCATTTAAAAGATGTACTGGATTTTAATCCCAATATTTTGTTCGAACTCTGTATTTTGTATGCATGTTTTCCCAAGTGTGTAATTATTTTATGGACAACTCATATTGGTATTTATTTCATTATTTCAATCTACACATCAACTTATACTGAACATTATTTCTTTTTGATGAATTAGGGATTGCCTACAATATTTCTACATTTTAAATAAAAATTGAGAGCTATAGAAATAAAGTTAGAATGAAATCATGGTTCATTAAAGTGATAACTCAAAGGAAAATTTATTAGAATTATTTACATTTATAAAAGTTCTCAGTTGTACAATCAAGCATAATACAGAAAAAAAAAGAGTTCAAATTGTCTTCATACATAGGCCTAGTTAAATTTTGTGGGTCTCAAAACCTTTCAACTTTTTTCCTATCATTTCATGTTTTATAGAATAATTGTGAAGAGCTGCCATCTGTTACCCATTGGCCAGGTGAATGTTCGTTGCTCTATCTCTTGTAATCTGTATTGTTTGCTGAAGGAAAACTGTCCAAGATCTCAAAGTTCGTGAACAGAACAACTTAATAATGCATAAAAGTTTTTTTAGGTTCAGAAAGTAATTCTGCTAAAGTTGGTGAAGCTTGATCTTCTGTTTGGAACTTGAAACCCCCTCAGTGAATAAGTAATAAGTGAATTCAAGAAATTCAATGACATGGTTGTTGGATTCTCAAAGAGGCAAATTTATGGGTCAGAAGTTAAGAAATTGTTAATACTCAACAGTATGCAGTAGAAAACTGTACTAAATATTACTCCAAGGTTTATTTTTGTTACTGTTTAAATAATTATATAAAGCAACTAGTACTGTTAGAAAGAGAATTGAGTAATTACATGAAAAATGGTGATTTATAAAATTATGTATTTGAAATATCTGTTAACATTAAAAGTCATATGCAATTATATTCTATGTTTTGTTATTGTGGTATTACTCATGTGTTAACACCATGCCAGTTTAACTATTGATAATTGGCATAACTATCAATATGGCTAAGTGATCAATACTTAAGTCGTCCCATGTAAACATATGACAGACATAAAAGACAAATTTCATTCTTTATATAAATAAATATTGAAAATCAACTTATTTTTCTGCTCATACACACACATAATTTCTAGCATTAATGGTAATTCATAAACAATATGTGTGTCTTAGACGAATCATGTGTAGTGACATAACAGAGAAACGTTTCCAAATTTATCTAACTGCCAAGTTCTTAAGAAGGCTTACAACACTTGAATTTTCTAGAATTCTCAAGCCAAGTGGTTCCTCTCTAACCTGTATCACATTTGTTTACCTATTTTAAAAGCATAGATGTGAAGTTAAGAAAATTGTTCACTTGAAGCACTATTGGAAATGTTCTCTTACAGTTTCATGCATTACGTTTAAGTCGCTGAATGCTGAAGCCACTGAACAAAACTTTTATTGTTCAAACAGTTCAGTGGGATTTTGCCTGTTCTTTAACTGTTAACATTTCACTTGGCAAGTGTAGAACTAGTGAAATAACTTCCTATTGCATTCTTCCCCATAATTTCCTATTAGTAAGTTTTATTGCCAAGTTTTATGTCACATTCTAATGTCTAACAATTTCATAATATTCTTCTTGTGTGGCATTCTCCATGCTGAGTTAGGAATATGTTTAACAAGTAGTTGCTTGTAGTCAGAAATGTGTCTGTGATAACTTATTTTTTCTAACATTTTAAACACAAGATTTACTTTGGTTACTGTAAACAACTTGTTGCATTAAAATGCTTAGTATCAAAGTTTAGTTCAAACATTTAAGTATTTGAAAAAAGTAAGAACTAGTATTAAAGTTTGGTATTGCAATTTTGTGTAGAAATCTATATTAAAACTTAGGATCAGGGCTTAGCTTCAGCTAATATCTGCATAAGAAATCATCTACTTTTCAGGTTACACATTAATGCATGAGACCAGCATGGTGTGACACTATAGTAATTAGTATGATTTAATCCTAACTTCACAGCAATATTCACTATTTTCTGTACCAATGCTAATATAAATAATAAAGTTGAAGTATTTCTGGCAAACTTCAAACAACAGCCTGTTCTTTCTTTTTCATTATTCCTTTTTGTTCAAAATGTATTTCATTTGGCTTCTCTACATAGTTCATGTAAAATGCTACTGCTATCATAAATTCTTAAATAAAATCAATTAGTTATGTTAAGAATCTAATAGCAGCATAATTTTATATTGTTATACAACAAAATATTTCATTACAATTAATTTTAGGAGTACCACTTTCATTGATGATACATACAAATCATTGAAATTGAGGATGCTTGTATTCCAAGTTATCAAAGTTAGGGTATTAACTGAATCAGTTTATGAAAGTTACACCTAGCAAAAATAAGTGTGAGTCTTCTTAGCACTAATATAAGTCTGCAAATACTTTTCATTGACCATGAGATCACATTATGCGAGATCTTTTCCCATTCCTTTGCTTATTGCAACACAAAGCTCTTTTTCCTCTTAGAGTAGGTTAAGGCACAGACATAAATGGCATTCAAGAGATTTATTATGGGACTTGGATCAGAACTTCATGATGCCCAATCGATGATTGCTACATTTTGTACATAAGATACTCCATCACATTGCTGGACATTATCCTATATAGATGCATGAGTTTTGTTAGGTAGGTTATTCTGTCACATATACTGCATAATATAATTCTCTGTAAGGGACGTTTTATTTAGAGAAGCTTTTTGTTTTCCAATGACAGATGTTCAAGGGAGTTGCCCCTTGGATAGTCAGAGATGAACTATCTCTTCACTTTTATCGGGAAGCTAAGCCTTCCCAAGCCTCTTATACATGTTACCCCCTACATATACAGACAAGTCTATTTCAATTGTACACGAAAAGTCGGTATAACTGCATCCAATTTCACAGTGAAGTACTTGGAAGAACAAAAAATTATATATACCCATTAATGTGGTTTGGTCCCCAATATTTATTCTAGTTATTGACTTGAAGTTCATGATCAGCAGACTCGCAACACCTATTGGCCATAATATAAAGATCATTACTTTAAAGTGTTGACTTTCTATGACCTTATCCAGACTGCCTAGTGTAAAGACTTTCTTGCTGTGGACTTTGATACACCTAATTAAACTAGAACTTCTCATCTTGGCATTTGCAAACTTTTAAATATTTAAACAGTTCTGAAAGTGTACTGTTGTCAATAAATATCTGCCCACCAATATAACAACACAAAATTATATGAATAACTAAAACTGAAACAATTGCAAAAAAGCAAATGATCAAATCTGAAGATAAATTGAGGGTTGTCTGTCCAGGATAGATTCACAATGGCTAATAATATTAATTTTCAGATTGAAGACACTATTAAATATTTCTCCTTTTACCTTCTGGTATGGCATATATACATATGCTGAATCAGTTTCATAGATACCTATGTACCACTCATTGAAGTTCAGTATATATATATATATATATATATATATATTGACTTTCTATAGAAATATATACAGTCAAGCAATATAAAATCAGAAGGAAGGACTGCATTAAAAACAGCAAATCCAAACCTGTGATGAACAACATCCAAATGAACAAAAACAAGCCCAAACAAGTCAATAAAAGACACTGCACAAATCAAGAGGATCCCCAGGACACAGGCTACAATGTGGGATATAAAATGTGCCCTGGGTTTTGGAGGGTGACTGCAAAAGTAGGACCCACATGGCAGTGGGGATACATTGTCTGTTCACTAGTCTCATGTGAAGAAGTTAAAAAAAATAAAAGTAGAAATTAGGAGAGCAAGATGTGGGTGCTCTAGCCCACAACATCCCACATCTATATCACCCTTCACTGCCTGCAGACAGTTGTGGGAAGGTGACTGCTCTCCAAAGTAAAATAAATAAAGACAAAATAAGGTACTACAATTTGGGTGTAAGTAAGGTAAATTTACCACCTGCGGTTAGCATTCCAGCCCCCATTGTAGTAGTAAAGCACTAATTAGTAA